AGGGGGACGATCGCACCACGTTGTGTCAAAATGGTCAAGCACCCTCGAGGCACAGTGCCTACAACTGTCCGTACGCAAAAAGTAATNCGTCGCTTGACAACGACGTTGTGAAACAAGCCAATTCACTTCGTGAACTCCTCAACCAGGTTACCGTTTTTTTTTTTACCTCCGGTTTTCTTTTTGGCGGTAACCATAATGGTGGTCGAGTAGATCATGTTGTGCGGGGTGGAGAACCCTCACTCCGCGCAAGGGGGATGATCGCACCACGTTGTGTTAAAATGGTCAAGCACCCTCGAGGCAGTTACACAGTGCTTACAACTGTCTCTGGAAGTGAAAGCACCAGAAAATAAATTAATTCATACGCAGCTGTCATCCGTACGCAAGGAAGTAAGCACAAGATGCCGAACACCCTTAGCAGGATGCAGCGCACCCTTCATGCGACTCGCCGAATATCTCACGGCGCTTCGCGCTTGGTGATGTGAGAGCCTGGTCCGGTGAGAACCCGGCGTGCTCCGTCCCGGCTTTGTACGGATACGAGGTCAACGGTCTAACGACTACGGCATGCACGACCATGAGTACACCCCCCACCCTACAAATTATCCACGGAGCCCCACACAGTGCCGCTGCCCAGACATTGGAGTTCTTCAAGGCCGCGACGTTAACGGACTTCACGTACATGAAGACTCACAAGTACACCGACGACGAGATCCACAGCATTGGTTTTCCCCTTCGTCGATGTTGACATGGTGGACAAGTTGTTGGCGGAAAAACAAGATTTCAACCTCGCCGGCACTGACACCGACGCTGAATACGACAACATGGCATTCTGGAGCGACCACAATTCTTGACCTCGCGACGTGGCACGCTTTGACGTTGGATGCGTATCTGTTGCAGCCATCGTCACCGTTCATGGAACGAGTTTTTTCCCTGCTGCGTTGCTGCTTTAGTGAATGTTAAGGGCAGGAGTACAGCGACCGCATATGCGCTGCCACAATCCTGAAGTACAATAGGGGGCAGGCCAGAAGTGGCAGGGGGCTGAGGCAGGAGAAAGACCAGCAAGACCCGGAAGAAGTGGATGTGCCGGGTGGCGGGGCTTGTCAGAATTAGTCCAAAATCGTAGGTTGTGCTTGAGGGGGCATCGGCTGAAGTATTCCACCGTGACACGTTGCATTGCGTTCGTGATAGGTGCTGCTGTATGTGTAGACAGAGTGCCGTAGAATATCTTCGTTGATTGGACGGTTTGAATCACGGGACTGTGTCGTCCTGGATCGTTGAACGGCCACACAATTAGGAACAGTAGAACGTTCTTGGTAGACTGTAGGAATGTTCTTCTGTGGACTGTGCATTACTCCGAGTATTCGTTGGGGGTATGCTAGCTGTTCTGAGAATTGTGTTCTGGTTTTATGCGTTGACCGAGGGACATGGCTGGTGGTGCTGAGGTGCTTGCCACTCTCGCCCACCACGCCCACTCCATCTGCTACCCTGTCTCTCGAGCCATGGTCTCATAATACAACATTTTTTCCCCAGAAGCCACGAGTTTACCCACACGCTATAGCGCAGAGCGCCGGTCTTCTACTGCGTCCCCGGGGATTGTACAAGAAGACTGGTGCGGGAGAGGTCTGATCAACCTGTCCCGCTATTGGTTTCTGGGGATCCTCCAGGTGACCCGCCGGCGGGTGGTTAACAGGATGTTGGTGAGAAGATCATTTCATTAGAGACGTAGTTGTCTCAACTCACGGCCTTAGTCGAGTCGCTTGTTGAGCAACAGGGAGTTCTGGTGGAGTCCTCTGTTCAGTAGCTGCTGCGCCGGGAAGCGGCGGAACAGAGTAAGCTAGTGGGCATCAATTGGGTGCCAGATAGCAGCGACTGCGGGAAGTACGGGCAGCATTGTCAAGGCCTTGGCATGTCCAACGTGTGGGTTGGGAGTAGAAGCTTGAACCCCCATGAATCGAATAGGTCGTTCGTCTGCTGATGATGGTACTAACAGCGGCGGAACCGACGCCGGTTGGCATCTTACAGATAGATGCTGGCACAGGACTGCAGGAGGTACGGGCAGCAGTGCTCAAGGCCTTAGCATGTCCGGCGTGAGAGTTGGGAGTAGCAGTCTTGCAAACTCAGGCTTGAACCCTCACGATACTGCTGTAAACCGTTCCTTTGCTGGTGCTGCAAGCATTGTTCGGTTGGGATGGGGAGTAGGGCTGTACTAGGTAGCCAGGCTTTCATTCCAGGAATGGTTAGTGGGGCTTTCAGTAGCCAGTCTTCCATTCCACCCCCACTTACTGCTTCGAGTAGATAGTGGGAAGATGTCGCTGTAGGAAACACATTGATTCCTGGGGGGGGGGGTACTCATGGTCGTGCATGCCGTAGTCGTTAGACCATTGACCTCGCATCCCTACAAAGCTGGGACGGAGCACGCCGGGTTCTCACCGGACCAGGCTCTCACATCACCAAGCGCGAAGCGCCGTGAGACATTCGGCGAGTCGCATGAAGGGTGCGCTGCATCCTGCTAAGGGT